TTATTTCGGTAACATTAAATTTAACGTATTGCTATCCAGATATGTGTGATTATGAATATTTTTAACTATTTAGTTTTTTATGAATATCTCAAAAAGTAGGCCGTGGGATTACCCTCCAGGAACAAAGATTACCCAGAGGCGTCAGGAAATGATGCGAAATGATGCGAAGAAGCAGAACTACATCATCGTTTGCACTTCAACAGCTCACGCTAGTCATGTTCCGCGCATCCCTACCGATCGCTTACCCCAGCGTCGTGTATCATTCGGCTTAGTTACACTTGTGTGGCACTCCCAAGTAATAAGAGGCGCGAAGATGTTAAGACTGTTGTCACTTATTCCAATCCTTCAAGATTAAACCGCAAGATTAGTTCCATAAACGCTCTTGGAGATGCTACAGTTGGAAAGTTTTCAGCACCATTCCACTTAGTGGATCACTTCCCACTCCTGCCTTTCGTTGAGTTTAACGTCTTTTGTCTCTCATTCTTCAATTGGACTTTTGTTCATTTCTCTTCTCTTCTGCTTTCCCATTTTTTATACTTATCCGTTTTATGGTACGAGTTTAAAGTAGCTGGATCCACTCCGACCAGAAGCAACCAACTGCTTTGAGTCGAACTACTCTGCACGGCGCACTTACCACAACCACAACAAGGAAGTGTGTCTTGGACTGATTTTACTGCCGTTTCTCAATAATTTGGAGCGTGACTTCTAAAGTGCTTTTCGCGCGGTAACTCTAAGCCATGGACGTGCAAAATGTTTAGGTCATGCTCTCTTCCGTCCTTTCGTTCTACTGTCCTCCTTGAGTCACGTCTTATATACGTCTTGAACAACTGTTTCGTTTTCCTAATGCTTCTCTGTGCTGCTCACTTTCTCAATCTGGTGAGGAGCTAGGAGCTTGACCTGTCCATACTTTTCTTACCTCACATGGTGTTCTAAGAGCTTCTGTCAGTTGAACTGATCCTCCTATCACAGTTGATTGAGTCTGTGTGTGTGCTTCCCCATTTCTCCATAAGCAAATTGAAACTTACCGCTTTCTGTTTTTCAGCATCCATGTCAACAAAAGCAAGACGTCGCCTGATGAACGATTTTCGCAAGATCCAGTTGGATCCACCTCCGGGCGTCTACGCTGTCCCCTTAGACGACAATATTCTCAAGTGGCACGCCGTTATTTTGGGTGTAGATGGTACGCCGTTTGATGACGGCATTTTCAAATTGACCATGGAATTTACCGAAAGTTACCCCAATGTCCCGCCTACAGTGCGATTTGTCTCCAAAATGTTCCACCCGAATGTGTATGCTGATGGCAGCATCTGTCTGGACATATTACAAAACATGTGGTCTTCATCTTACAACATAGGAGCTATTCTCACTTCCTTACAATCCTTATTGGGCGACCCCAACCCGAATTCCCCGGCAAACGCCACTGCTGCAGAACTGTTCGAGGAGGACAAGAGGCAGTATGAGCGCAAAGTGAGAGAAATAGTGGAAGAATCGTGGCGATGTGATGATCCGATTGAGGAATGCGACTCCTGATTGATTTTCTATTTTCATGAATGTGGAACCTCGCTAATCTCTTCGGCTGATCCCCACCATTTGACCTGGCACCCCTGTCCACTTTCAAATGGGCACTTCCGGCTGTTTGCTCTGCTCCACGAAGAAATTCCCACGGAGAATTCTGTCCATTGATTTAATTCTTTGCAAAATTAGCATCGATTATATTCAAAAGTTTGTTCACGCATTACTTTATTTGTGAATGAATTGGGGTCTCATTGTTTTGCATTGGGAGCGCCGCACAATTTGTTTTGTTCAGCGACTTATCTTACCGTATGTCGTTTTCAGCGCTAGTTTGACGCGTTGAGCCACTGTGGTCTGTTTTTATCTTTGTATTGTCTCATCTTGTTTCGTCACATAAACTCTACGCTTGACAGTCCCGTTTCTTTTCATTTGTCATAGACCCACTACCGTCGTCTATATCCACACTGAGAGAAGAAAAGACTGTATGGAACTATAGTGCGAACGTGGATTGCATTTATATGATCCTGCAGCATGGGATTCGAGTAGATAAGACATGTAGTTTGTAATATATAGGCCGCCGGTTTGAATCTGCGCAGATGTGAGTTACTTGGCGCTACCTTCATCTCACACGCGACTGCTGGTAGCCGCGAAGCGCCAACACGGCGTGCCGGCGTATTGCTGCTACTTCCCTTTTCTATGCGTATTAACATCTGTTAGCGTACGATATGTTCACTCGGATAACGTACTACATTTTCTCTCGCTTTTCACTTAAAATCCTCTAGATCGGCAGCAGGTATCTGCGACATACGGGTGCTAATTCCTAGGCGTGATATCCGTGGCATTAGAGATGGGGCAACTATCTGTTAAAGTCCCTGCAACGTTTTTCCGAAAAGTTCTTACTTGTGCATCGCCACTTTATAGACGGCCTCGTACTGTAGCTTCATCGCCTTAATTCATTGTGTCTTGATGGGTACTATAATCTCCTGCCCAGTGTACTGTGTCTTTGCCCTATCCCAATCTACATACGGTCGTGATTTCATCTTAAACCTTATGCGTCGGCCGTCGCGCAGTTTCGAAGGATCACCTGATTTATTGCTGCATACGGAAGGACAGATAGGCGGAAGGAGGATACTGCTGATGCTTCCTTTTTCACCCGTTTCTCTTGCGCTGCTCCCGATCCCTATTACTTACCTTTTTGAGCTTCCAAGTGATAGCAGCTACAGTATCCATGATATCACAACACCCAGTGAACCAAGTCGCCTATTTCCCTGGTGATGCTCAACGTTCATGTATTGGATAAAGCAGAAAGGCATCAGGAGTAGGCCGGCACACTGTACTGGCGCTTCGCTGCCTCGCGGTTACTATCAGCAGCGCGTGGGCTGGGTACAGAACGTGTCTGCCAGCGCCTACGCGGAATCGAACCGGTGACCACTGGATTACAAGGCAAACGCGCTATTCTTTCGACCAGTGGCCGACTCTTGTATTGGACAGGTAGGTTAATAATATGCATTTGCCCACACACTGGATACTATTGGAATTGACGTGTGTTGCGTTTCTTGAGCCAGGATTCATGACTCTCGCGTGACAACCGAACTGGTTGTATCTAGACTATCTTAGTCTATTAGTCGCACCCATACGGAAATGATGCAGCGAATACAAGTTAGACTGAGTGAACACCACTCTTGCTACCAGGGTTGGGTCTACATTAATTGATTAGATCTTCGTGAGCTGTTCACTTGACGGCGTCAGCTAAGGGTAGTGAACGGCGCGAATCTACGTGCCGTTTGCTAGTGGTTGCTGGCATAAACTACTTTCACAAGGGAGTTAGGACGTAACCGCACCTTTCTGCTGGCTCAGCGGCTAATGCACGTTATGTCATTTAAACGCTTCAAAGTTAGTTACGTGGGATGTTTGAATCTAATTCCTGGGAGCACAAGTAGTAGTGAACGTTTGTTGCAACTGTGTCAACCACTACTTTTTCCGACAAACACTGCAATGTTTGCATGCCGCTTGGTGCCTCCCGACATCCGGATACCGAATGTTTACAAATTGGCCGCATCGCCACGAATCTCAGTTGGCGTGGTTTTATTCATTGCTTAGTCTACAGCCGATTTTTATTAGACTTTATTGGGAAACCGTCTTCTCGGTTAACAGCAGGGAAAGTGTTTCAGTCCACGGTCGGTCAGACCTGTTAAACATTCATTCAACCGCTCTGAGGGAATCGACTTTCAATGGGATCGGACTCGTTTTGCCATGCGATGTGGGGAAGCGTCTGTTTGTAGCACAACCTGTAGTTAGCGCGCTGAATATCCAAATGTCAGTGCATCTGCTAGAAATAAACCCACAAACACAGTGGGACTAGATAGACTGTTAGGTTGGCTAATACAGACTGCGAGCTGACAAGGAAGCCTGGTTGTCCCATTGGGCACAAGTAATGATCACCACCATCATCATCAACAGCACTACATCAGCCAATTGAAGTGATGCTTCGCTGCCGTATAACTACAGTGACCCACGAATGAAGAACAATAGGGGACTAGCATAAAACCTTAATGCTCTTAGCAAACATTCTGGGTCAATTCACATACATCTTGTCAACAGCATACTGTCACAAGCAGCTGACTATGGTACAAAGATAAGACGACATCGGCGAGACAGTTTCCTTGCGGTCTTCACTGCCCCACGTTATTGTCGACCATTACACAGCAGATAACTCAGCATCAAATAAACTTTAAACAGGCAGTCCGACTAGGAAACGCGCCACTGGTCTCGACAGCCAGGTCCTGCAACGTCCTTGGTTAGCACAGTCGGTGCGGATGCCCGTCTTGTATATTGCCAATATAATTAATTCACTCCAGCCACCTAGGATGGTCACATACTTCCAGACCTGTTCCAACAGGGAGGGCAGTGCTTTGCAGAGGACCTCACTACCATCCTCAAGTAGTGCGGGTGCGAGAGAACCCAGAGCATCAGCACGAAAACGATTAAGGGATATAATCGAGTTTTCAACCTCAGCCTTGAAACCAACCGGCCATGGCTCAACCTGCGCCATCTGAGTAGAAAGGGGCCAACTGAACTGCTTTGGAAAGTGCTCCGTCCAACGAACCATACGGCGCTCCTTATTGTGAATTAAGGCATATGTGCTGTCTGACGCCGTTTCCTGTGGCCATTGCTGCGGGCTAGTTGGATGAGCTTGTGGTGATTGCCTACTGCTCCCGCTTCCTCCGTTTCCTGAGCCCAATTGATGGACCAGGCTTCCTTGTCAGCACACGGACTACGCTTTAGTTCTCTTTAGTTGTGCTCAGAACCAGCCGGGAGTTTTTTTTGGATTCCAACAAGTTCACAGACCTCGCATATTCAGTGGCTGGTGCGGTGACGATTGATAGTGCCGCAAACAGAGGCTTCCTCGTGGTGTATGACAACCGAGATATTATTCCAATGAAGCTCACTGTCTTAGGACAAGAGGGCGAAAGTTCAGTACGCATGGCATCCTAGTAGGCTTTCCTGACCGAGGACTGAGACTTCTCAGTTGTCGATCGCGGGTGGCGCTTGGTAAGCCTCGCGGTAAAGTTAATCGAAAAACGACAGCATACTAAGGCATGGTCAGAGTAGACGCAGGTACTCAATAACGAGTAATGTAGTGTTCAGTTCTTCGTAGGTATCCTTGGCAGCATTAGGACTGTAGTCAGTATAAGTGGAAACCATAAACAGCGCCTAATACTACTTCGTGAATCAACCTGTTGATATCGTCAAACGGGCTGTTCACGGGAATCCAATCAACCAACGATGACAGCCATGCAGCTGAGAACGATATCCACCCCAGCCTGATCAGTGATTGCCACATCAGCGTCTCCGGATACATGCATCCAATAGCGAGAGAACAAGTCGAGTGCAGTTAGTTCGACAACCTCTGTGTGGGTCATTGATCCTAGTTTCAGACACGCAACATATGTCCGATGTGTGTGCTAGTGCAGCCTGTTGGCATATTCATCTTAGACTGCAAACATTGAACCCTATCAAGGAAACGGGACCATGTGGCTGTTGCTGATAGGTGTCGAGTGAGTGGTACAGGAAGATGGATGCAGATGGTAGAACTCTAATGGTATTGTGGCTGCTGCAAATTAGACTGGGAATTATAGAAGAAATTAAATAATTGGGGTCCGGAGGGGAGTAAGAAAGGGGGTGCCAGCAGTAGTATAGTTTCACTCAATCGCCCTGTTGTATGCAGCAGATACGGTGAGCCTTGCAAAGCCGATGCCGGATGTGATTGAATTTCGATGAAATAGTCGTGGTTGTACGTGGGATGAGCTACTGCCATGGCGCCCAAATCTTGATAGGTGAGCGTTAGGTTTCTCAACCGAAGATTTTGGCTAAAAAGCCTGTTCGCAAGGCAGCAGGGGGTGGCAACGATTCGGTTTTACAGCAACGGGG